TTCATATATGCCTCACAGAGGACGCTGGACCTGCACCCGCCTCCTCCCCCCACCCCCTCTATTGTCTTTTGCTCCATTAGTTTTATTACAGTCTTGGCCGAGGAATCAGGGGATTGTGCGATCAGCTGATCCTGAAGGTCAACAACAGATCCACTGTGGCTCCGACACTGTTCTGCAGTCAGTTTTCACAGACGCTGGTGAAGGACCACAGACACAAATGCTGAAGCTTGAACTGATGTGAATAAATTCCTCCTCCAGGAACCAACGGTCCTGATCACACACACATCTGTCACCTCTCTCCCGCCCATGAAACAGTTTTGTTCTACTCAGCGCGCCATCATCATTCTAATGCATCAGCTGATCACAGTGCGGAGAAGAACATTAAAGCACAGGCGGCGCCGGTTGCCGGGTGACCACAGGGACTCGACCGCATCTCAAAACCTCCCGATCCTCCTTCCTCCTGTCCGGCAAGATGTCACGTGACACAGGAGCCAGGAGGGAGGAACCCGAAGGTGTTTGAAAGTGATCATGAGATGAACAGAGCGACTCTCTGACCTCAGATCTAACGTCTCTGTCTGATTAATGCTGATTGTATTTCTGACGGAACCATCGTGACCGTCAGCACAAATTCACTTTCAACGCCAACGGGTTCAAAGCCAGAGGAGGAAGAGGAGAGATTTTTTGTCTTTAACGTCTCTCTTATACATTCGACCTCAAGTTAAATGTGCAAAGGCTCAAATCTGAGCGTCACCTTGAGGATTGCAGCTGCTGCGGAAGAGAAAGGAAAATGAAATGGACCGAGAGTCACTTCCTCTGCTGCCTGAACCAGAGGTGCTGCAGCTGCAACAAATCCACCAAACTCTGAGCGTGTGTGATTTGGTGCAGCCTCGGTGGAAGTCTCACGTGCACGGTATCATACACATGTACGCTCTGCACTTCAGCATGCTGCTTCGGCACGGCCAACATTTTCCCATCTACTGTGCAAATGAAAACATCGCACCGTGTATGGATAAGCACTTCTGTGTTTTAGATGAGAGCGATTGTGAAGAGCACTATCGACTCTCCGCAGCCAGCACAGCACAGCGGCTCAGTCATGTATGACATTTCCAATCGTGGAGCTGCATGTAACGTCACGACTACATGCTCCATAACTCACCCTGTGTCCTTTATCTACTGTCTTCATGAGGCTTCATTCCACTTACTCAACATTCTTCCTGTTCCCATTAAAGGTTGAAGCACATTTGGACCCAACTGTTTGCTGGCATCTGATCTAATGTCTGCTTTAACACTGACAAACTGGCTGTCCTGGCCATTTCTCCCTGACGCCAGAAGCCAGGGGCGTCGAACAAGGTTTCAATCGGACAACAAGCTCATTAGAGGAGAGACGAACCAGCAGTCGACCGCCATTTTCGTGCCAGCTCAGTGGCGGCAGCAGTGGGGCGGCGGAGCGGTGATGGAAGCCGATCCACGAGACGGTAGGAGCTCGGATTAGAGAACCAGACGTTGACACCAGCATGTTCTGGTGAGCTACACTTTGTCTGTGTGTTAGCAGAACATTTCCATGGAAACGAAAAGGTTTGAAGAGCTCTGACACGTAGAGGTCACTGAATGAATACCAGAAGAAAAACCTTTCCAGGCTCGTGTGATTACTCTAACTTTCAAAAAACAAGACCCGATGTTAAAAGGATCTGAGAATCGTCAGATGGAGGCGATTTAAACGGAACCACTCTCTCATCACATCACGGCCATAGACTAAATAAAGATGGACGACGCGTCTCCACGTCCTGTCATGTTGTCCAATAGTTTTCTGATTACAAAACTCATAATAACGAATAATAAGCAAACGAGGACTGAGCAGTGTTGATTTCAGACCAGATCTCAGGCCCATGTTGCAAAACCTATTTCAGGGTCATACTCAGGTTTGCATCGCGTCACTGTATGGACGGAGACATATGGTGTTTCTCAGCGGTTCTTTTCGAGTGTGTTTGAGATGTTCGGATATAAAAGTTATGTTAAAAAGCCCAGGGTCTGCCATTTGCATCATCGACTAATCCGTCCGCTTTCATTTGATATAAAAACACATGAAAACCACGTGTGGCTGTGATGATCCCGTGACGTTACCGAGAGAGAATCGTGGAGCTGCTTTGTAAGAGACTCGCTCGTGAATCAGAGCAGCATGGAAGCCAAATGTGTTACATCCTCCCGGGCTAATTTAATTAAAAGTGCCATTTATTTTCTCATTCATCTCCTGCACAGGGAAACCACTTCTCTTTCTCTTTCTCTTGCAGTGAATCCACTCGGGACTGTTCAGCTCCTGCACCACAGTGCATCGCTTCAAAAGGAAAAGAAAAACAGGTGATTTGATTCGACGCCAGCGACAATGGGAATCTCGGCTCGTCACTTATCAAAGCTGCTAAAGATCAGATTCTTCCTTTGACTGCAGGTGTCCAGGTTTAATGAAAAGCGTTTCTGTTTTACTCTGTAGTGTGAATCGTGTCCCTGTGTGTGAGTCTTGAGATATTTATAGTGGTATGTTTTGTAATATAATCAGTGGATGTGCTTTCCTATACATTATTGAGGGGAAATGAATATTAATGACACAGTTGTGACACAGTTTTCCCTTTTTCTACGAGGGGAAATCATCCAACACATTGGACATGACCCACACACATTTAAAACTGTCTAATCTCGCCTTCTATCGCTCCCCATGCACACACACACACAACACACACACACAACACACACACACAACACCCGTCCTGTGCAGCTCAGCAGCAGCGCTCTGGGGTTTTTTCAGGCCGACCAGAGGGTTTGACATTGTGTAGCTGAAAACGATGTGATGTGAGGGGTGACCCGAGTGTGTGGAGGGTAAACGGAGTGACTCCCCCAGGGGGCGGCGTGTTCTCTCTGGCCCTCTTTTAGAGTTCGGACAACTCCCATGATGCAGAGAGATTAATGAAGCTGCACTGGCACTGTGATCCCTGCAGGACACACACACACACACACACACACACACACTATTCATTTCAGATCGTGACAGTTTTCATGTGCCTTCACTGAAGTGAGTTTAAAAAGGTGACGCACACTTTTTGCACAAGTTAAACATACAAACAAAAGCTCAATCAAATAAATGATTGTGACCCAATTCCATCTGTATATTCAACCAACTATTCATGTCAATCGGATTATCGAATGAATGAGTGAATCTTCCCATCGTGTCTGTTTCTCTCATTATAAATGTGGAAGATCTTTTTTCCAATGGCCTCCTCCCGATTGATCATTACTGCATTACATCATCAGTTACACATCCGTCAGTCGTGAAACCTCCGTCCCTCTCACCACGGAGGCCGGGTTGTGTCCACGTCTGACGATGATGCGAACAAGCTGCACCAGAGCTCAGGATGTCGCATTAACACATGCACATCTCACACCTGCAGTCTGACTGCTGGGCTTTAGGAGATGCAACACTGCCCCTCTGCTGTTCCAAATGGGTATTACAAGTCCGCAACCGGCAGATTGATTTGGGGGAAAAAGAGAAATGGAATATTTTTCCTCAAGGACATGAAGTATTTTAGTGTTCTGTTTAATAAGTGTTCAAACAGATGAATGAAGATAATGTATGAGCAGTAAAAAGACAATAAGAAGTAAATGAAAGGTGACAAAAAGATGACATCACATAAAGTCAATAAAAATGGGTTTTAAGAAGTGATTTAAAAGAAGTCACTGATCTGAAGTCACCTTATCTGCTATTGGTCATTCTGAAGCCGAGGGGCTCCAATCGCTTTAAAGGTGATCGGTAAAATCTTTAAATCAATTCTCAAACGGACAGGGAGCCGATGGAAAAGCGAGGATGGGGGTGATGTCTCCTGACGTCGTGTGCAAAATAACTCCGTCCAGATTTTCCCAAGGCGAACTCCTCGCCAAAAAACCTTTACGGATGAGTTTGTGTGTTCGTAGTAAATAGTTATAAAGTTACTATAGCACATTTGTCTACCTGCACATGAACAGCTAAGACTCACCATCGGCCGAGCGTTTGTATGGGCGGACTGCTCAGACTCCACATGATGTCATCAGCACAAGATGGCAGCGTTTCCTGGGATCTTCTGGCTTCAGTCCTGGAGGAAGTGGAGACATGTCGTGCATTTTTAGAGACGGTCTCCGATTCAGAGGTCACATCTCTAAATGTAGCGTCTCCGAGCGCTAACAGCTTCTTCACTGTAGAACATGTGTTTTTGTTTTTGCTGCAACAGGAAGAAATGACGGAAACGGAGAGAGGTTTAATTCTCAGAAGCGTAATTCTGTTATTTTTAATGATTCATTTTGTTCCTGCAGAGACTGAAACTCTGGTAAATGATGATGTGAGGATAAAATCCCAATCTGCCCATGAAACAAACTGAGTCTGGACGAGCTTCTCCAAACATGCTACATCTCTGCAGAGTCTCGAAGATCATTAGCAGCGATGTCAGAAACACATTCATGACCTTTTCAATGCGTCTCCCTGCTCCTGCCAGGTCGCAGCAAGTTTCTGAACCCACTGGCTGTGAACGTCATTGCAATAGTCATTAGATGTATCGATGCCTGAATTAGAAAGAGACCGCAAAAAAAAAAAAATGCTATGAAAGAAGAGTTGATTTAAAAGAGGTGAAGTTGGATTTCATACGAGTGTCAAAATACTAACACTGACTAGTTCTCAGATTTATCTTATTTACCTGTCCGGACATTAAGCCTCCGTTCAATTCAACACCAATTGTTTTAATTTATTCCTATTATTTTTTATTTTATGAATGAAAACTTAGATGCATGTTCACACAGGTTAAATAGATCCAATAAATATATTTAGTTACAAACACAAGAACTTTGTGTTCATCAAGAACTATCACATTAACCTGGGATCACGTGTCCACTGAATATTACACAAACCTACTAGTTAACAATAAGCACGTCACTATTACACAAACTAAATTCTATCAACTTGTGCAGCTGCAGGAAGAAAGACGTCTTCATTTCAAGTCCTCGGAAGGTTTCCTGGTAGCGGCTGGGGCTGTCACTGGATGTGTGAAGCTCTCGCTCTGTGTGTTCTGTCCATCTTTGTCCAGACGCATGTGCTCCACCGTGCTCTGCTGGAGAACCTCCACCTCTGAGACGACTGCCCACGGACACTTCTGACGGCACAAGGAAAAGAGCAGGTGCTTTATCTGCGGGTTGCGGATGAGGAGGAACGCTGCGTTGATGCACGGAGGTACTGTGAGGAGCAGGGGCGTCAGCACGGGTGTGAGCCTCCTCCAGGTGGGCGACTTCGTTTTTCCCATCACTGTGAGGATGATGAAAAATATGCTCAGCACCATCTGCAGCAGAAACATGAGGAGGTAAAGTCCCACGGTGCAGTTGGCTCGGTGGTTGTTACACTTGAGGGCCACGCTCACCCTCAGCGCCGCCTGATACATGCAGCCGTAGCAGTAGCAGATGGCGAGGATGCAAAAAGTTGTGATGACAGACGGGGGCCCGAAAACCTGCAGGTCCTCTTCCAGGGTAAACGTTATGAGTTCCTTGATGGTAACGGCGTCGCACACAAACCCGCTGGTTTGCTGCAGGGGGCCGTGCTTAATGTGGTTCAGCACCGAACCTCCGTGATAGCTCGCCGCCACGCTGACCAGCCAGAGGCGGCCCAAACTCATGTGCACGTTGTTGGTGTTGATCAACCTGAGGTAGTGGATGCCGTGGCAAATGAAGACGTAGCGTTCCACGGCCATGAGGGCCAAGGTCATCTGGGACGTCAGGAAAAAGCAACGCAAGATACAGAACTGTACGATGCACCAGCGTCCGAACAGCTGAGTCTGCTCACGGACGACGGACGATAACACGACACAAGCGGTGACAAAGGTCATCCCAAAACCAGAGGCGGACATGTTACTCAGCAGGATGTACGGAGGCTGCCAGAGGAGCTGCTTGTATCTCGCCGTCAGAAAAAAGAGCAGTCCGTTTGTCGTTAGAGAAAAAAGTGCACAGCCGACAAACACGAGGAAAAAAGCGAGGGAAGTTTTCATGGAGACGGTCGAGTCCCAGGCCTGATCCACGTGTTGATTCCAGTCGCCTGCTGTCGTCGCGTTGGGCGAATCGGAGGAGGAGGAATTCGTGGAGCGCTGCATTGTGTCGCTGAAGGAGAGAACGGCTTTCTGAAGAAAATCTTTCTGAATGGTTAGGAAACGTGCAAAGGAGGAGCAACCAGTAAATCAGTAGTTACCAGGAGACATGGAAGGAAGCAGCTCCGTTTAAATGGAATGAAATCACATGAAGAGAAAGTTCATGTATTTCTATTTTTGTATCTATAGATTTTGACATATTGTCACCGTAACTATTTCTCTTACTTTAATCATGTATGAATTTATTTTCACAGGATTCTTTTCTTCTTATATCCATTATCTCCAGTTTCACTTCCTTCAGAACAGATCATCTCTTTTGGTATTTTAAAAATATGATCTCACATTTTTATAATCACTTTAAACTATTCATTATTTTATCCCCTCAAACATTTTATTATCATATCTTTATCATTTCTTTTGGCTTTTTTAATGTATTTATTTTATCCATATTATATTTTTTAATCTTTAAAGCATTATATTATTCCATCTTTATAAATGTATGCTTTTGACCTTTTTTATTTCATCGTCATTTTTAATTTTTCTAATGTCCTTTTGTTATTTCATCTTTCACATTTGATTATGTGTTATCATTTTAATAATATTCATTTCTAAGTCTCTTATTTTGTGCTTATCATTTGAATTGCCTGTGAGGTGCGACAAATAAGTGCATGATGGAAACGCTCGAAGGACGGAGGTGAAGAAAGTCCACGACTAAGAATGAGCAGCTTGCTGTCACCATGACAACAGCACATCGGTACCATATAGTGATTCGCTCATCGAATCATTTTCTGATCGGGACAAAGCAGCAACGTAAAGAACGAGAGGGAAGCATGTTTTATCCTTTACATATCATGTAGCATCCTTAAACAGAGTGGGCAACAAGTACCTGCATCTACTACAGTACAAGTACAGTAAGTACATTTATTGTGTACTGTATACAAGTGCTGTACTGCATATTTGAGGTGCTTAGATGTTAGATATTTTATGAAATTACTTTTATCTTCAAACTAATATTTGTGTTATTGCTTAATCACTGCAGGTATTTTCTGTTTATTTTGTCTGTGAAATACTAAATATGTTTTCTGAGAAGTGCTGTATAAATAAACTTTTATATTATTGATTGCATTTTGCAGGATTATGCAAAAACTGCTCGACCAACTTCCATGAAGTTTTGTGGAGCGGTGGATCACGACCAGAGACAGGACTCATTCAATTTTTGACTTTTTCCCCAATTTTTTTTAATTCTGCAAGAAGTGATTTAAAACGTGGTTCCATAAGGAGACAGTTAGCGGAGGTGTGGGCTGCACTTGCATTAATGTTTTTTAATTCATCAGTTAAGATCTTTACGAGCACAAGACATCAGCTTTAACAGCGATGCTGTGAGAGCATGAATGTGTGAAGTGTTTGTGAATCATCTCTAGGTTGTTTTCAAGCAGAGGACATTATTTTTCTCATCGAGCTGCGGCGTCCGACACAGAACCAACTGAACTACCTTCAAATTCAAACTTACAAACAGTGAAATATGTTATTTGCCAAAAGAAAAAAAACACATTCTCCCACCTTAACATCCTGGACTTTAAACAGCGACTGAAATTTATTTTTGAATTAAATAAAGTCGTACATTTCACAGCTATAGGAGCCTACATAGTAAGCAAAACAAATACTCTGTCCGTGTGCAGAACTACACCACAGGGTAGTTCACAACATGTCGCCATCGCCTGGATAACGGAGAGAGGACGCGGCTGGTTGAGAGATGAGGCACAAAGCCACAGAAGAAGAAACTCCCCGAACGACTGAGTGAGTGATGGAAAAAAAGAGGAAGAAAAAAAGACGACAAGGTCCTGAAGTTGTGGCGTCTGGAAACGTTTTCGTGCTGATTCCTTCCAACGTTAAATGTCCACAATTCAAAATAAAAGACTTCGGATTACCATGCTTTAAAAGTAGAACCTGAAGTTCCTAATATTTTAGATACTGTGTGGTAAACTCTTTTTTTTTTTGCTCTTCTTCAAAATCCACATGTAACATTTTGCGATGGAACTTTGCAGCTGCTCATGTGAAAACATACTTTTGAAACGTCTCTCGAGCGCAGCGTTGATCCACCTCCTCCTCGCCACGGGTCAGGTGGCTGCTGCAGACTTAGGAAAGCACAGCCTGGGATTTCTTGACACCGACCAGGTTGTCGGCGCTGACGGACCTCCTCATGGCATTTTTACTCATGTCCTTGTACTTGTCCTCACACAGCCTGGAGATCGCCTGGAGACATGAACACACCAGTTAAAGCCTGAGCAACAAATTCACTCACTGAGAACAAAATAATCCGGATTCAGACTCTTTCCTCTGTGGAACGGATCCACTCACCTCCAGTTTCTGGGCGCGTTTGTTGCTGAGCGGCTCCAGCGGGAAACTGAGGTTGTTGTCGTCAGCCAGCGAGCGCAGGTCAAAGTAATACTTGGCGTAGACGCTTGCCGGGACGTTGATGTTGAACTGGAGCAGCTCCAGGAAGTGACGCTCCATCTCGTTCCTGCAGAGAGACAATCAGAGATGTGAATCAATGTACCGATCCGATACCATGACGAATGTCCTCTTTAAGATCTAAACGAGCTCACATGTCCTCCACCGTGATGTCTTTGAGGATCTGGCAGTAGTCCACGTTCCACACGGCCTGGTCGTCCCAGACCTTGGAGGCGAGCAGGATGGCGCCGAGAACAATCCGCTTCCAGTTACAGGGACAGATGTCCATCTCAGCGTAGGTCAGAAGCCTTTCCAGGTACACCTATCACACACATGACCACGCGTTCACACAGGAAGTACACACACATCTGATCCACAGAGACTGTGTCCTCAGATTCTTGAGATGTAAAGAGTTGCGAACGCACCAGAGTGACGATGGCACACTCGGCGGTGAGCTGCGCCGAGCTGAAGAGCGTTCGTATGAAGCGGTAGATGAGTTTGTGCTCTGGGTCGACCACAGAATAGTCGTCTGGGACCTTTTCTCGCTGTCGGAGCAGAGAGTCATCGTCATCTCTTCATCATCAGAGCGAACAGTAACCACTGGCTTCAAGTAATAAAACACGTCAACTCACCGACAGCGGGTGTTTCTTCTCATCGAATATATCCAGCGAGCGGTTTGAGTCTCTGCAGCAGAGGGAGAAAGTGACGTCAAAGGTTAAATGTGGAAATTAGATCCTTTTACAAAGTGAATCAGCTTCTTTAAGAGGTGAACTCTATGAGAATATAAACCTTAACTCCTCCTACCTGTTCTTTATATGATAGTAAATGGCCAGAGCGACGCTGCAACAGACACAGAAACAAACAATGCCCACGTCAATTTATTATTTTGCATCCAACAGGAGCTTCGTTTGTTCAGTGGAGTTTCAGAGGGACGGAGGCGGAGGGGGTGTCGCTCACCATTTGATGGTGCTCTTGAGGTTGGGCTGGCTGACGGTGCTGTCGTCGAGGAATATTGTCGAGCAGGAGCTGTACTTTTTCGTCAGGAGCCCGGGAGACATCTGCGTCAGAGACAAAGAGAATGTTGATCTGGAGAAATGTCCGATAAGCTGAGTTAAAGCACGCATTGGTTCTTCTACTTGTTCAGACGATTTTATTTATTGAAGATTATTTAAACAAATCAAGAATCAAACATTTCGAGCTCAGAGGAGAAATGTTGACATGAATGATGTCGGACATGTTGTCTTGCATTTATCTTTTTATTTCTATTCTTCCCTTCGCAGGATTATAGTTGTATGTTGCCGTGAACCTTTGCTCCGTCTGTGTGATTGTATTTCTCTCTCGCCGCGTTGCTTTAAAACTGTTGAGATCCCTTTCATTTATAATTATTTATTATTCCTTTATTTCTCCGTCAGGAAATAAAGAAATTGCGATCTCAAACGTTTCCCAGGAAACCTTTGGGAAAATGTCCAGAGCGCCTCACTCAGACATTTCCCTTCTTCAGTGTGAGCTTCAGGAGAACCTCCTCTGTCACTCACATGATTCATGTAGTTACTTTTCCTCTTCTCTCGCACTGAAAGGAGAAGAGACGTGTGTTAGACGTGTGGATGCAGAAGAAGACAACACGCAGAAACAAAGTTACAGCGTCTTCACCGTCCGTCTGCGACTTGTTGAGGAACAGCGTGCTGGCTCTGGGGTGATCGGACGGGTTCGACTCTTGGGCGAGTTCTGTGGAGACACAAAGACAAAGTGTGAGTGAAGCTGGACGTGGAGACATCCGGTCTCTGTGGAGACATCCGGTCTCTGTGGAGTCTCTCTGGAGACATCACTCACCGTCCGGAAGCTCCCTGTCACTGATGTGCTGCAGGTACGTCCCCGTGTCCTCACTCACGTCCTCAGCGGTGGTGATGGGACACTCCTCCAGCTCCACCTCCCTCCGGGAGATCTTCGGAGTTTCTCCGGAGGAGCAGCAGGACACGGAACCTCCCATGGTCGATGAGCTCGGCTACAGGTGGCGCTGTTTCCCATACACAGTGGCAGCGGTAGTTAGTGGAGGTGAACTCAACCCGGGACTAGTTAAGAGAAGCGGGTTCACGTTAACAGTGCATGTTCACACCGATGACGCCTCCGTGCGTGTGAGAGTGGAGGATTCTGGGAGTCTGAGTCCCTTCTATCAAGTCATTTTACGCAGCAGACGCAGAACTACACGACATGCTAGCCGGCTAATGCTAACACTTGAGTCCAGTGTGCGTCCATGTTTCCTCACAGGAAGTCTCCTCCACAATAAAGCAAGATGTCACTTGGCGGGACAGGCTGCGGAGGAAGTAACGGCGCCGGCGGACATGTCTCCGGTACCGGAGAACTGAACCGTGTTAGCAACGTTAGCTTCAACACCGTCACAGCAGCGGGAGACACGTCCGGACTGTCAAACCTACACCGGAAGTCTACTCACTTCCTGCTTCCGCTAATCACAATAAGAGTCACATCCGAAAATTTCGTACAGAAGCGACAATAATAATAATAAAATGTTATGTTTACATAGTGTATTTTATTGCCATTCCGTTTTTATAAATCCCTGCTTATATTGAATCTTCACTTAATTATTACTGATGTGTGCTTATCATCATTATTGTTATTATTATTTTAACATTAAAAATCTAATTTCTCAAATAGCATATCAAATAGCCACCTATTAAAACCGTAAACATTGTGAACATGACACATGAGTTATTTCAATGTGTTTATCTGCATTGATTTTTTTCCCCCCGGCAGATATAGTTGCTCTCTGCTTTTATTTTGAAAGCAAAAACGGAAATGTAGACACGTAGCTGCTGCTGCTCAAAACCGTTGAGGACACGCCCACCGCAACACCGGGCTTTCCTATTGGTCGCTTTCAGCCATGCTGTTACCTGATTGGCCGGGAGGAGCTAAAGGCGGAAATAGAATGAACTCCCAGAAGAAGAGCGTCAGTGCGCATGTGCAGCAGCATCAGCGGAGGAGGACAACATGGCGCTGGTTCCGTACACGGACTCTTCACCTGTTCTGTCCAAACTCCACCGCTCATCCGCTCAGTTCAGCTTCGGCTCGCATCGCGTCACTGTGTCTCAGGACTGGAGGAGACATGGAGTCGCTGCTGTGGTGTGGGACGCGGTCAGACATTCATTACCCTCCGCACATTCATCTCTGAGCTCTGTTTACATGGGATTAACATGTTTGTTTACATGGCATCGACACGTGTGTGCAGGCCGTGGTCCTGTGCGTGTACATGGAGCAGATGCAGCTGAAGGAGAAGCACGTGATTGAACTGGGAGCCGGAACTGGACTCGTGGGGATCGTCGCAGCTTTGATGGGTGAGACCTTCATCATGAACCAGATCAGAGAAGCACTGCAGACCTGAAGAACACGAGCACAGCGCCCCCTAGTGCTTAGACTTCTGTTCAGCATGTAGGCAAACAGCTGTTTAAATTAACACATGTTGAGATTAAAACATTAATATAAACGTGTTCTCCTGGTTTCTGTGTTAAACTGCTGCTGCTCGTGCTCTGGAACAGGAATAACCACCGTGTGTCAGCAGAGGGCGCTGTTGCACATCGTCGCTTTCACCGCAGTAGATTATCGGAATATGTGTGAAACGCTGAGTCACGTTTTTCATTTATTTTCAAGGAGCCAAAGTGACCATCACTGATCGAGCCTCGGCGCTGGACCTCCTCTCCACTAACGTGAAGTCCAACCTGCCTCCGGACCGTGAGGGTTCAGCCACGGTGTCCGAACTGACCTGGGGTCAGAGCCTCGACCGTTACCCCGCCGGGGGATTCGACCTGGTGCTGGGCGCGGACATCGTTTACCTGGAGGACACGTTCGTGTCGCTGCTGCAGACGCTGGAGCACCTGTGCTCGGACTCCACCGTGGTGCTGCTGGCCTGCAAGATCCGCTACGAGCGAGACACCAACTTCCTGAGCATGTTCAGGGAGCGCTTCAGGGTGGAGGAGGTTCACTACGACCAAGAGAGAGACATCCACATATACAAAGCCTGGAAGCTGCTGGAGCCCAGGACGGATTTATGAGAAATAAAACAAGACATTTTACCAGAAACACATTTATTACCAGCTGCCAAAAATGTAATATTTGAATAGCTCTGACATAAAGCACTGTATCATACAAGTTGGTGCTGACATTTAGAAACTGTGTGTACAAAAATCCAAAAGCAACATAAAAAAAAGCATATTACTGTCATGACTATACATAATACCTAAAAGAATACTGTACGACTCTGTTAGCATGAACACGTCCACTCTGCCTCTCACAGTCTTTGTGTTTTACATTTGGTCGCACTTTGCAATCCTGGAGCGGACGTTTGGTGAGAACTGATAACCGATCAAATTCAATATGTGAAGATAATGAATAACAAAACGTCCACAGACACTTAGTGATGACAAACTGGTTCTCTGTGTAAAATCCTAAAGAGGCTTCTCACCCGGCGGCGGCGAGATGACGCAGTGTGAAATGTGGTAGGATTGTATAAGCAAAGAAAGTGCGAATGCCACTAATCCTGTAAACGCAACCTTGACACCTCGTCTGTTGATGTCACAACAAACAGGCGTCCTGGTTATCAACAATCGGTTTTACAGAATTATTTGAAGCGTTCCCAAACTAAAAATTTAAAAACGGTATTACAAGACTAAAATACACAGACATGCCAGTGAAGGGCTGCACGTCTCTGAAATGTGAAATGGATTTTTCCTGTTGCATCAACACATAAGGCTCTTTTTTTGGGGGGGGGGGGGGGGGGTTCAGAATTTATGAAACTAACTTTAAAAACCAGGCAAAGAGAAAACAAATATAGATGAAAACAATAAAAACAATGTTTTTTGTTTAAATTATATTTGCACCAGCAACAGGAAGCAGATAAATACGAGAGGAAGTTGTTTGTTCTAAATCAGAAAAACAAACTCCGGCTGTTCAGATTGATCCGCCACTCATTTGAATCTGGGTGTTTGTTGAGAAGATGGATGAAAATTTAAATCAGTTATGACTGAGAACAGAGATCAGTGACTTTACATGTGATTTTCTAGATTCAGTGCCGTCCACGTTCTCCAGTCTTAACCATGTTTTTTAAAGCTGCAACTCACATGAACCGAATCTCACAACCCGACCTGAAGGTCAGTTTTGTTCCATGTATCAAGGCAAGGTAAACAAGAGTTTAACAAAAAGTAAATGGCATCAGAGCAGATAATCTTACACATAAACCAAAAGATAAAATATCCATGACGCAGCCAATCTATAGTTCAAAGCATTAGTAAGTAACAGATGTTAATGCAAGAGCTCAGTTACGATTACAAACGTCGCACACAAAGGAAACGTCGAGACTTCAGAGCGTCTCTCTGGATTTGAAAGTGTAAAAATGTCCGTCGTCGTCGTCGGTGGTGACGTGATCGAGCTGTTCCCCGTTGCTGGTGATGTCGCCCAGTTCGTCCAGTGACTGGAACACTTCCCTTTGGGGGTGTGACACAAAAACAGCCTCATTGTCCGTTCCACCGCGAGGACCCCGTAGAGTCGAGGTCTCCACCGCGTCCGCTCGCCACGCCGTCAGACCCACGGGAACAGATTTAGGGATTAAAACCGGTGACGGGACCAGAGAGGGGTGTTATTTAGTTGTAATCCTGGTGAGTCACTTTACAGATTTTCTGCAGTCTTTATAAAGAAAGCAAAGAGTAGAAAAGGGGCGGTGACGTCCCGGAGCGTCTCTGAGCTCAGTCTCTGTACGGGGCGACAGACGGGCACCGAGTGAGCTCCTGGCAGGCGTTTGGTGATGATACTACTCAGATTTGTGGCAGTACAAGTCTTTGAGGGCTTTTAGTTCCTCGATGAGGGTTTTATTCTGGTTCTCCAGCACGGCCACGCGGTTCTCTAGACACTTGACGTACTCCTTCTTCTTCCTGCGACACTCGCGGGCGGCCTCTCTGTGTGACATTAAAGGTGTGAGTCTCATAAACAAAACCTTTATCCGATCACTCCCCCCACCTTCTCTTAGATCAGGTTTATTTTTACTCATCTATTTCTGTTCCCACTTTCTAGATAATGTTCACTTTTACAGGTTAACTGTATCAGAGAATACAGAATTAAACTAACACCACCATCAGGCAACAGACACGACAAACTCAAGAACACAAACCTGTTTTTCATAAGTCGGACCTCCCTTTTACGTGTGACCTCCTCTGTGCCTCCCACTGAGCCCAGAGCGGGCGAAGTCGCCATCACCACCCCGGAAGTGATGGAGCTGGTGGGGGCCGTGCGGATCTGATAGGCCTGGACGTCACCAGAAGCGGCTGAAGGACGAAGACGGTGAGATATATGAAAATGGAATCATGAAACTCACTGACACTTTAAACTTGGGTTTCATATTTCAATCACTGGAGCTGAATTATGTCCCCACCTTGTACGACCACTTGGTTGCTAGGCACCAGGATCTGCTGGCCGTCGCTGGTCTGAGCGTACTGCAGGATGGTGGCACCAGGCTGTGCTGCAGCAGCGTTGGCCATGGTCAGAGTCTGCAGTCCCTGCACGCCATCTGTGCCGTTATTGGCCAGCTGGATGGCCCCGCCCTGCGTTATGGCAACTACAGAGGGACGATGTCACTTGTAACGATTAGTCTCAAGTGAAGAGAAGCTTTTTAAGTTCAAGCGTCGGATGAGGAGCAGTAAACATGACGTCAGTGTTCTGTGGTGTTTTAGTGTCAACATGCGGAATCATTGCGTCCTGTGTGTACTTCAAACAATGTGTCTATTGACCACTCTCTTATAACACAGACTGAAATGTGTGTGTCCGCGACAAACAGAGTTAAACAGCATTAGTCGTAAAATTTCCCTCCATGAAAATATAACACAACAGTGGGTCAGTATATTAAAACATCTGATCACTAAGACCTGAGACAAACTACACTGAGAATAGATCCAGAAACTCAACATTCGATCGAGGGTCGCTCACGTCCCAGAATGCTCAACGGAAATTATTTTTATCACAATGCTGTGTCCCCCGACAGGCACATTCTGAACAGTAACTTTTTATTGTGAAGAGCAAAGTGATGCTTCCTGTCCAGAGGTACTTACTGTACTGGCCGCTGCTGGTCTGATAGATGGGAGTGGGCATGGTGACGGTGGTGATTGTAGGAGCTGAGTCGTCCTCCGATTTCTCCTCCTCAATTCGAGGAACGGCCGGAGCATCTGACGACAAGTCGTTCAGGATCTTCCTGTGGAGCAGAACACGAATATCTCAGCAAACGTTTCCTCATCAGCACTGAAACTGTCGCCTCACACATTTGAAACAGTTGGAAACGAAAAGTTAAAGTCACAGATTCAAATCTTTGTCAACGAGGCGTCGCACTCACCTGTACGACGGTCGTCTGGACAGGATCTCTCTCCTCTTCTGAGAATCGGTCACACTGTCCACGGACTCCTGAGAGTCTTCGCTCTCGGCAACAGTCGAAATCTGTGACAAAAATCATCCCACTTGAATTTCAACACAAAGAGTCATGATCAGAAGGAAACAGGAGAATTACAAGCAACAATCTGACTTCTATTCAAATATTCATGTTTCCTGATGGACATGAAGCATTCACTGATTATTATTTGTGCAATAAAGGTTGTTGTTGTAACGAGGTTGTGTGTCTCACCTGTACTGTCTGGACTTGTGGGGACTGGATGACGGAGGGCTGTGCAGCTTGGATCACTCCGTGCACTTGGACCGTCTGACCGTTGGGTAACTGCACTAAGGTGACTGTGGGACCACTGGTGGTTACCTGACCTGCAGCGATGGACGCCTGCAACAGTGACACATACACAGATTCACCACCGCCCCCCCACGACTCTTCATTTCTCATAGTCATGGCACACAAGGGGTGAGCTGTACCTGGGCCAGAGTGATGTGCTGGGCCTCAGACTCAGAGACAGCCGTGTCACCACTTTGCTGAGTGTCTGCACCAGCCTCCATCTTCATCTGAAACCTGCACACAGGGACAAGCTGCTCGTTGGTGCATCATGACCCAGAGTCTGTGGAGGTTCAGTCTCATGCACAACTTCACTGCATGTTGCTGGAGGAGGGTGTGGCTTCACATGTTAGCACAGAATTCATGTATAAAACACAGTGAGCGAGCTCCTTCCACAGCAGCACTGATCTATGTCATGTCAACTGTGGTTAGCATGTAGCAGACTCCATGTGTGAGATTAGCCCCAACACTTTAAATATGCTGCTACGCTACTGCCCGGAGGCTAAAGCTAACTCAGTGTTCCTGATGATATCCAAGCTGCAGATAGCATGCTAACATGCCCACAGACAAACAGTGGGTGTGAGCGAAGCTAGCAGCGACTCGGCTGAGCGGGTTTTTATTGAACTGTCGCTGTGTGGTAACGTGAAGCTAATGCTAGGTGAGCTAATAGCACTGGATGCTAGCTGTTAGCATGGAGGGAAATGTCTGCACGCATCGGTAGTTCCTGTAGTTTGAACCAGAGACTGTGACTCGAGCCCGGGAGGCTTGAGTCTGAGAGACGGTGTTAAAGTGAGCTAACAGGGATTAGCAGCCTCGGCTAACTGCTTTGTGACTTTATTAAAAACAGCTCGTCCATATTCAAGCTGTACCACAGCTCTTCTACAGCCGCCATGATCTCTTTGTTGCTTTGTGCGGGAATCGAACACTAACAGCTGCTGCCGGCGGCCATGTATCTGTCCGCCAAACATCAGATCCTCTTACCGACACAACTCGCTTCGTCACTCCCGGGGCTCCGGAGCTCCACTTTTATTCAGGCCGACACGTAAGAGCCCGCGTCAGGCTACACCTCCGCCGCGTCACCGGGAACAACAACACTGAGAGGAGGACGAGAGGGACGACGACAGACAACATCAGAGGAGCCGAGCGGGGCCGAGGGGAGCCGAGGGGAGCCGAGAGGGGCCGAGAGGAGCCGAGAGGAGCCGAGAGGAGCCGAG